CAATATAGCATTATCTAATTATACACGAATACATAGAGAGTTTTAATTCTGAGGGCCTCCTTTCTGGTTCACTGCTAACAATTACCGCCACAGTATTAGACCTCCTTTCTTTCACTATGGTCTCTATCATGGCTCCTTTACTGGTTTCTTTCTTCTCCTTCTGTCTGCTCTCCAATGACCAAGCAGTTCTCTTCACCTTTTGTCATCTTTCAATCTTTTATTCATTTTCATAATTTTTTTCCTCTTCCCTTTCTCTGGCTTCTTTCCCTAATAAGCATTGTTCAAGAGCTCCACTGAGTTAAAGTAATTAACAACTGGCTAGATCAGACTGATCTGTGCCACTTCAGATTAGGGCTGCAACTAACAATCATTTTATAAATCGATTCATCTGTTATTACTTCAATAAATCGATTGATAATAACATAGCCAAAGATTCCTTAAAAAAGACATTTTACGAAAAAAAATTGTTCTTAATCTTGAATGCAAAATGTTTCTATATTTTTTTTTTTTTACAATTTTTGCATAATTGTTGCTCTAAGTGGGTCGCTCTGTCAGCTGAAGGCATGTTTTAGAGTCTCTATACTCCAGTTAGTGATTAAATATTACTAAATTACTTGACAATTATTTCAATAATCGATTAATCATGATAAAAACGATTGTTTTAGCCCTGCTTCAGATTCACATGAACTGTAAATACATAACAATGGGAATAGTTTGGAAGAGAAGTGAGGTAAAAGTGCTAATTCGTCACATTTAGAGACTCTTGGGATGTTTTTTTAAACTGATTTTGTGTAAAAGTTTTAGAAAAAGGGTTAAATCCAACCTTAACCCAGGCTGGAGAGATTCATTTCAATCAAACTCTGAAAAAACGTATATGACAGTAGATTCACTCATACTCTTATCCATCTTATCTTAAGTGGGTAGCGGCTAGTTACATTTACTCACTTACAGTTACTTTAATTGAATGCGTTTTTGACAAACATCTACTTTAAAGAGTAGTTTTACTGCATCACAATTTTTATTTTAATAATACTTTAATAAGATATTGCTACCCTTTATTTCTGTAAAACGTTTGCCTACTCCATCCATTATGAGTACGGTAACTTCATTAAAAAATAAACAAGATTGTTCAAAACAAACAAAAAAACTGAAAAACACAAACAGTAAATGTCTCCATCAAAGTGAATTTTATTTTTCCCCAACATGCTACCTTAAAATGTAGAGGTCAGGCTAATATAGTACAGTAAGGAGTGAATGTTGTCACCGCAGGTACTGGTCTCCTAAGTTCTCTGTTAAAAAAGAAAATTGGTTTGAAATTATCAGTTTTTTCAGTGTTTTTTTTTTTCTTAATAACATAATTTTTTTGTTTTAATTTTTTGATTATAGTCTTGAAAGACCCAAATTTGCCCAGACCTTTACATCTGAGTCTGCCAATATAACATTATTACTTTACAATTTCAGATGTTATGATGAGTTACTTTTCACTCTTACTTGAGTAAAATTATGATCATAATAAAATTATAATAAAATAGTGTTACTCTTACTTAAGAAAAATTCCAGGGTCCATCTCTTCCCATATCAAAGTACTGAATGTGAATAATCTACCAGTACTCCCTTCTGATCCATATATTAGTGTGGTATTAACTAAATAATCTACAGCAAAATCACACTGCCACAGAGTAGAGTAGAGGAGTTGATTTAATTTTACATCTCTGTCTGCAACGATGAAAATGTACTCTCCTGGGGTAGCTGAATGGTTGAAGTGCCTTCATCTTATCTCAGATAATAATTTTTTGACATATTGTGATCAAATGTAGTGTGTATATGGCCACCTCATCTGTCATCAACTTCAGTAGGTAAAAGAAAAATGGATAAATGAGTTAAAGGGACATCGGGGCTAAACTAGAATAAGCTGTTCAGATGCAATAGAGAACTAAAATGTTTGTTTGGTGAAGTCGACCAAGTTTAAACTAACAATATAAACTATCCGCTACTCAACAAACAGTCAAACAGAGTCCTATGACTGTAATATAGGGCTGCAACTGACGATTGTTTTGCAAATCGATTAATATAATAATTTTTTTCAATTAATAATCTGATTGCCAAAGGTTCCTTAAAGACTATTTTTATGACATTAAACCAGGTGAAACTAAAAGTTTTTCATTTGAGGAGTTCTGGATGGAGAATATTGATAGACGAAATTGTTTTTTTTATCTTAAATTCAAAATGTTTATAAATTATTTTACAATTTTGGCATAATTCCTGCTCTAAGTGGGTCACTCTGTCAGCTAAAGGCAGGTTTTAGATTCTCTATAATACAGTTAACGATTAATAGATAACCAAATTAGTTGAGGATTATTTCAATAATCGATAAATCAGGATTAATCCCATCTATGTCTCATAACAAGCAGGTCCATTCATACCACTGAAAATCAGTAAAGGTTGGAGTCAAGCGTGACCGGACATAATCTAATTAGACAGCAGAATATCAACTGATTATAGACAAATCTGAAGAAACATCCAAGAGAAAACAAGGGAATACTGTAACCATACAGCTAACTTTGGCTTCTTAAGCTTTTAGTCTTTTAAAAACTATAAAACATAAAATACTGTTTAAGAACAAAGAAATGAAAAGGCCAACCCAATGCCTCTGCCTGCAGGGCTCTATCCGTACTCTTAAATAAACACACAAACAAGAACCTGCCAGCCCAATACAGGGGCAAATACAAGAGGTTAAAAGATCAAGAAAGAGAAACCTTTCCTCGTTATCGTTGTTGATTTAAAACCGTGGTAAAATCTTAGAATAAAATCATCGTTCTTTTGGGGATTGAGCCGAGGTCAGAGTTCAACAGGCCCAGCTGAGACAAGCTGTTTTTGCTAATCACAACCTGTCCAAAGCTCTAAAACAAAAAAAAGTCGAAAGAGAAGATGTAAGCAACAATAACAAAAAGCTAACCCCTTAAAAAACCTCTAAATTCAGTCAAATTTCTTGGTTTTGGCACAAACAGACAGACATTTCACTTTATAAACCCTTCATCTCAAACTAATATGTGTTTCCAACAAGATCCAATTCAAAATATATAAGGTATGTGGCTGCAAACCCGACCTTAATATGAATATTAACAGCAACCTAACAGCATTAGAAGAATAATTCTTAAACACTGACAACATTTTCTAACTCTTTCAAAACCTACAGAACTAGACTCCTCAAAAGCATAAAAGGATCAACCCTGTGGACTATGATGAATTCAAATAACACATGAATTATGCTCCTTTTATCAATCATTTTTGCTTTAATTTTAATTTCATACCAAATAGTTGGACAAAAATATGTCGACTTTTATTTACAACGAACCCATTTATTTGGTCACACATTAAACTGACCTGCTGCTGAGATTTTAAAACATTCAGGCCGAGAAAAACAGAAAACAATCGACCAACCAAGATGTAGAAAACGGTAGACCCTTTCAAACCTACAACTTTTTGACCAAATGAAAAACAAAATCTTGTTAGGCAATAGAAAAAAATATATATATATTTTCATTTAATGTTTTGTAAGGATTTGCTGTCTTTTGGTCTACATAAAAACTTTAAAAAACTGAATATTACTGATCTGGAAGCCAAAAACATCTGATAGCGACACAATTTCCCATTCTTATCATTTAGCCAGCTGAACATTTAGGCACACAAAAATGGATCTGTAGCTTTAAACCAGTGCTTTGTAAGCTGGGTTCATAATATTAAAAAAAAGGGACCAGACCTGAACAAACACACAGCTACAGAAGGAGGCAGGTGCTACCGCCTAGCTCTGTGATAGTCTGGGAAGAAAGGGGCTCCTGAGACCAGGGTCACCTCCCAGAAGACCACCTCAGCTCTGCTCTGGTTCCCAGATGTTCTCATGCATGCAGGCTAACATGTACGCAGACACGCTCGGACCTCCTGAACCCCACGGAAACTGAAAACAAATGAACCTGAAGGAGGAGACATGAAGCACTGCTGCAGGCGTTACCCAGCCACAGAGTGGTGTTTGTTTTTGTGTGGATACAGACTACCTGACCCAGATAGAGCAGCTTATTGGGTTTTATCTAACTGTCAGGTATTTTCGTTTGTCAAGTCTTCCTAGGAGTGAGAAAACAGAACCAAGATGAATTGTGATTCTGCATGCATGTAAACGAGTGTGGAAGTATGAGTCTGGAGACGACTTGTTGAATGCGTGATCCAAACCTGAGGCTGAAATGAGGGGAGCTGCAGCAAGGCCATTAGGATGCAGATCAGGAGAGACGTGTGTATGTGCTCAGTTAATTTGGGGGGGGGGTTCAGCAGAAAACCATCTATTATAATGACAGGAAGCAGGAAGTACAACCCCTTTACAGTCACATGGCTGCCAGCTGTATTGGCAACAAGAGGAGGAGAGATAGAGAAAACGATAGGGAGAAAGTGTCTGCATGTTAATGTGTGTGTGTGTGTTAGAGAGTGGAGAGTCATAAGCTGAACTTCTATTTGCATTCCAGTCCATTTAAAGAAGCATTTATAAACTACTGACAAAGAAAACAGCTCCGACCGCGCTCCGTCCAAGCATCCGTTCAAGTCCAAAAAATGCTTCGACATTTACGCCTTAAACCGCCGATGCTCTTCCTGTTCCAATGTGGGAATAAAGCTCAGATCTGGCCATGTGGATGCGTTTAGTAGCCGCAGCTCAGCACACATGCAGACGCCCACTCACAGGGAGCCAAATATGCACATTTTTGCATGAATGCACGTGTGGTCTACTGTTCTCTACAGGGGGAGAACATGCACACTTAACAACAGCTACAGCTGTTGTTTTCTATGACCTTTGTAGCAAATTTGCATCTGATGAGAACAAATCATATATTTCTAAATCTTTAAGCATTGACATTTAAGAAGCTTTATTTGGAAATAAACCTTCAGGTTCACATAATTGTGACTGCCTCTTTCCACTTTATTTTTTGAAAGATTTAAGCACATATATGAATAAATACCTTCAGAAAGCAGGGTGTTGACTGGTGTTTGTGTCTCCTTGCAGTAAGAGACCACCTCTTTGGGAAGGAAGTCTACCTGTGTGATCTTAGAGGCTCCAAGCCTCAGCATCTTGCGCCTGCATGAAAGCAGATTATAGATCATGATTGGAATTATGTCACAAACAAATCCAAAACTGTATCCTATGTAGGATTAAACTCTATATTTTAAATCATTAAAAAAAAGTCTGAGAGGGGAAAGATATACCCAAGCTCAGAATCAGCCTGCAGCTGCAGCACAGAGGGGTCTGTGTCCCATTGCAGTGTCCTGATGTGACCAACAGAGGGAGCAAAAGAGGACATGAAAGGTTACAAACACAAATATTTCATAATGGAAGTATGTCCATTATGCTTCCACATACAGTATATTTTGGGATCTATACTCTCATTTGGAAAAGTTTAATTTTGGTTTAAAAAGATGGACAAACTCATTCATTGATTCTTATATTTAATACGAGTATATATATTTTATTTTTTTTTAGAAATGATTAAAAAAATGGAACAACAATATTTTGCATTTCATACAATAAAGCCATAAAGAAATTATAATGTCCACCTTTTTGTTCCAGTTATCAAACAAATAAAAACACACATCACATATTAGGAGCTGGCACTTTTCCTTCCTCCTGAAAATGCACGTTTATTGAAAACGCCTGAAAAAGCCAAATTACATACAGAAGTATTCATACCCTTTAAAGTTTTTGTTTACATTTTATGTTGCAACACCAAACTGTGTCGATCTATGCACATGGTATATGACAGACTAGCAGGAAAATCATTTATAATTGCTGATTGGACTAAATGATATATTATTTTCTGATTTTTGTTTTTTGAATCTCAAAAGTGTGGCATGTGTTTGTATTCAGAGCTGCACGTGTCAAGGGGTGTAGCTTCAAGAGCATTTAGCCCATTGTTTTTTGCAGAACTGATTAAGGGCTTTCTGATCAGGTCGAAAATGCAAGTCTTTCAAAATATTCAATCGTATTTTTCATGTGGTGTTTGGCTGTATAGTTCTGATGCATGGCTGTGTTAGAACAGGGATCTACAGAAGAGTTTTTTTAGCTAAATAAATTTTGTCTAGAGTCAAAAAATATTACAATAATATTTAGAAAAAATTAAGCAAGCTAATATTTTTTGGTTAATCTGTAGATTAACATTAAGATTTTTTGTGAAATCAAACATTTTTGTAATGTTTAGGTTTTAAAATAAAGAAAGAGAAACTCTTATTAAGAATAGGATGGATATTTTCTTTTATGGGATGTTGATATTTGTAAAATCATACTTTAAATTCATCTTTTTCCCACCTAATTAAAAAAAACTACTAATGAGAAATATTACAGATATTTTAAGTGTTATTATTTTTGCCAAAATTTCATAAAGAAGTAGAAACAAACTGCTAAAACTTTAACTTAACTTATACCAATTTTATTAAGAGCCATTGCTCTGGAGACCCATAACAGAAAATGAACCTCTGCTCTAGTTTCGATATTTCTCACCCTCTTTCTTCTAGGTTTGACATATTTTGGCCCCACCCACCTTCCCATTCCCACTGACCATCTTCTCTGTCGCTTCTACAAAAAAAAACAAAAAAAACAAGCATCCCCAAAACATGATGCTGCCACCACCATGTTTCACCACAAGGAGAGTGGATTCACAGGAATGCATGGTTAGTTTTGGCATGCAATTAAAAAAAAAAAAACACAGCTCACTGTGTAACATAAAATCACAATTAAATCCAGCTTAAGTTTGTGGTTGCAACCTTAAAATGATGAAAAAAATGCAAAGGGTTTTTATTTATAAGACATTTAAGAGCTTAATTCAGCAATATGTAGTTGATGAACTAGGCAAACAGTGAGGAAAAGTGCTGAGCTCATGGCTGCATTCCTCTGCTGTCCTAACAGGTAGAAATCAATCACTTAAGGGAAAATCAAAGCGTTTCTCAAGTAAAATATACCAGCTGTAAAAAGGTAACACCTGACCTCCAGATGATACATTTCAGAGCAGAAAACAGACGCGTTTACGCATTCAGCAAGTGTCACACAGTGCCAAAACAGAGCCCTGAGAGGTTTCTCACAACTTGACAGGCTAGCTGTGAAACTGGTGGCATGGATGACACTTTAAGCAACACTGTCACCTCTGTGAGGACTGAAATGACCTCCGCTGCTCAGCTCATGCGAGCAGAGAAGCTTGGAGCTGCTATTAGAGGCGACAGCAGCGCTAAAGATGGGATGGGAGAGGTGTGGGGAAGAAGAAGAGGCGGGAGGTAACACTCTTTGATTTTCTAAATCAACACGGGGAACACTTCCATAAGACCAAAACCTTTCTGTTCTGAGCAGAACCTCAGTTACAGAAAGATACGGAATAGGGTTTCATGGGTTTGACATGAAAATTCTTACCTTGAACTCTGAGCTTGAGGCTTGTTTTTAGAGAAACCTGACCTACAAAGGACACACACACACACACACAACCACAAATGGAGAAGCTCAAATTGGCATGCCGTCATCCAAGGTGGATTTGGGGCTGGAGAAGTCCTCTTCAATTCTTCAAATAAAGAATCAAACATGTTTTCCCTTTCTTTTGGAAACCTGAGCTGACGTCCATCGATTCTTCAGCCCCAAATCCACCGCTCTCCATACCAAACAACCAATCACCAACGATCCTGAACGCACCACTCACACATCCGCCTCTCAATAAGAAGCAAATGGAAAGCGTTTGATGACCACAGAATTCACCAGAACAAGCTGCTGTCATGTTGGCGCTAACAGCGGCAACAATGATGGATTAGAATGTATGTAGCATGCTGCAGTGTGACCAACAGCCTGTAGAGGAGCAGCAAAAAGGGGGAAAATCTTCCATTTCTTTTCATTTTACTTTGTCAGATTTTTGCTTTTTAACAAACAAAAAGCTCAGTAAATGTAAAGATTAATATTTGATGGTTCAGTACTATGTAAATTACTAAAACAGATACAGTGCCTTATAAATATGCTACACAGTTTATTACATTACAACCACATGGATGGGGTTAGATCAATTGTATGTAATGGAAAAGGGCTGCATAATATAATATAACTTACTGCTTTGTTCGTTGGCTATTACATTCATATCTTGTTATAATAATAACTTCTCTCTGAAGTAGGGGTGCACATCATTTATTGTGATAAATATCTCCTCATGATGAGAATTTAGATTTGTCTAAATGAGAAATTTCTAAAAGAAAAAGGAAGAATTGTCCAAATTTTTTCTTGTTTTTCTTTCCTTTTTGTTTTGTTTTCCTTTTTGTTTTGATGAATACATTTAAATGTGATCACTGTGGGATACCTAGGGTTAGGGTGACCTTAAGATGGCTGTTTTAAATTTGTCTAGTTTTAAGCAGCAGTATTTGTGGAGTTATGATTACTTTGGCAAGCAGTCAGAGCCACACAGCTACCTAAGAAAGACTGTGAGGAAGTAGTGATTATTTGCTCCATCCTCAATTATATTATTATCACAATAATACCACAAAATCTCATGATAAGATTTAAGTCCTTATCCTCCAGCTGTAATCCTAGCTATTTATTTAGCGAGTTAATTGGATCTTTGCTTCAGCAGATGAGATGTCCAATTTTTTTATAAGACACAGATGGTTGGAAGCAATAGAAAGACAAAGAACGTGAAGAGGGCTTGAGAAAAAAAATTATTTTAGGTTTCTGATATGAACATTCCAAAAATTTTTTGTGTCCCTGGAACATAGAGAGATAAAATAGTGTGTTGTTAGGAAAAAACCTACAGTACATGGTCTTTAAAGATTTTACTAAACGGGCAAAAAAAAGACATGTCCAAATATATATCAAGCCACCTTTACTGCTATATCACAATATGAATTGTTAAAATCTAAATCTAGCCGCTATTTAACCCCCAAAATCACTCATGCTGCACAGTGGAAAACCTGTGCTGGCCGAATCATGATGTTAGCGATTCTGTTAGGACACAGAGGTGGAGGCGCTGAGTGTAGACCAGATGATCCCGATATCCTCTAATGGCCTAGTTATATCCCTGATCTAAATCCAGGTGTGAATCTAGAGCATACACTGAGCTAGAATGTGAAGAAAGCACAAATGTTTGGGGTTTTATAAAGATGCTTAAGAGACCCTCAAAAAACTGTAGCATATAAAGAGATATTAAACCGATGACTATTTTCCTTTATGTTTCCTATTATGTGTTACTTAGTGTTGCAATTCTATGTAAAATCCTGGTGGGTAACAGGGGTGGATTTAGGACATTTGGGACCCTAGGCAAAAACAAGCATGGGGCCCTCGGAAATGAGAAGACAACACATAAAACAGACTCATTATACAGATACATAGTTTTAATAGAATAGACATACATTATTTGTTCTATGTTTTGTCCTTCGTATCTTGTCCCTTTTCTTGTTGTTTTCCTCTCTATGTTTTGTACTCAGCTGACTGTTCATGCCTTCTCAAAAGGAATAAAAAAAATGTTTCCCCATCACTAAGCTCACTTAGCTCATTGCTCCTTCCTGTGTTTCCAAAAAGGCGAAAGCAAATAACACAGTCATTCTTTTCACTGCAGACAAGCCATGATCAGCTTATCTGTTCTCCATTTTTCATTTGAAGGAATTAATAGCTGCATGAATCATGACAGCAGCCAAGAGAGAGGAGAGCATGATGAGGGGTAACGAAACTACTTGCTCTGGAGAGCAGAGTTAGCTGCTTTTATATGCTGTTGCCAAAGCCTCCAGTAGCGGAAAAAAGTCGCTACATTTGGTGCTAGGCACGTTTTTTTTTTATAAAAGTACTAGAGGGGTCTGAAAAGTTGCTAAATATAGCGACAAAAGTGCTAAGTTTTTCTGCTCTTCGCACTATTTGTTTTCAAATGATTTGCTGCTGCCTGTTTGGACCTTTCTGAATATGTGCAGCAAATGGACTGATCCAATATGGTGGACACTGATGGGGGGACTGAGATACACTTAATATCACAAGTGTTCTGATGGCATTTTATTAAAAACATAATTAATATGCACAAATAAGGAATAGTTGTATTAACCATACATGTAAATAGAGTTTTATGGTGCCCCTAGGAACTGGGGGCCCTAGGCAACTGTCTAGTATTGCCTAATGGTAAATACCCCCCGGTGGGTAATTAAGGCACTGTTTCTGTGAATCTTTATCTGTAGCCTTGCTGATATTCCAAATATTGGTTTTAGAGGCTTTCCTAAAAAAAAAAAAAAAAAAAAAAAAAACTCCTAGAGGTAACTGTAGCATGTGAGCTAATTGATGGATTGTGGTCGTCAAAACGCAGAGTACCACAGCACTTATACAACAAATACACCTAATAGTTGAGCCCATACTTACCTAAACCTGTCAGGGAAACATCCGGATGTGAACAACAGAAAAATGATGTAAAAGATGGAGCTTTAACAGTCACAAGCTCAAATAAAGCACAAGCCTTAAGTCTTTTTCTTTTAAAGGTTTCAGAATTCTTTGTTTTTTTAATATAAATGCCACAAATTAAGAACCGGTTATCTATTAATGTAAAGAACAAACTAAAAAAACACAAAACTCCAGCCCTACCTGCCCGCTGCCCCTCCCTCGGCTGAGTCCTGGCTCCCCGCCTCACTGGGCGTGCTCACTGATTTGGACGGGGACACCGGTGTCGGGACTAAAGAAATGTAATAAAAGGTTAAATTTCACACTGCAGAGGCAACAGCACAGGATTGTAGAAAAGAAGTAAATAGTAGTCACAAAAAAGGAAAAACTCAAATATCTTCTCATCGACCTACACTCTGTTGTTTTACAGGACTTAAAAATAACTGCAGTTAAAAAATAGCGACCCACTTTAGAGGTGTAGAAAAAGGTGTTATTACGATCTAAGACCACTAGAGAACAGTACTTGTTAAGGAGCTGAAAAGCATGAAAAGAGGCAAAGCATCATTTTTAACTGCGGAGGTGTAAAAGAGAGATGCCAATAGGTATAGCAGTATAGACATGAGGTATTAGCTGTTAAAATAAAGAAAAAAGGAGCAGCTTAAAAGGGACCTGTGTGTTGTGTTTAGAAAATAGAGTTTGATATACCTAGTGGAGGTTCTGGGGAGATGCCAATACTCTGTAGCAGGGCCTCAGTCTCCCTACGCTTGCGGTCCAAGTCCGAATCCTCTGGGGTCACTTCAGTTTTCTGCTGGCTGTCTGACTTCTCCATAGGGGAAAACAAAAAACATCAGAGGGAAACATTTGAGTTTGACTTAGAACAGGTAGGTTATAATTTTTTTCTTTTCTTTTCTTTTTTAACAGTGTCCTGTCTGGCAATGTGGCAATACGAATAATTGTATTGATTTAAAAAAGAGCCCAACAGATTTTACTTTCACAAGTGGAGCAGTACGGCTATCGTCATAGGGTTCCGCTTGATTTATGCATATAAATTGCTTTATTATAATTATGCAGGGAGTTTTACAGATTATATGGACGCTGCAATGTAGGCAGAACAGGAAGGGAAAAACAGAAAAAAATGAGAAAAGATGAAAGAAAGAGGAGATAGAAGGGCAATAATGATAAAACATTTACAGTCTGCTTCATCACCTGCAAAGAGATGTACAAAGAACAGCACAACCAGTGGACATGGTACGAGACATACAAAAAAGTAACACCTAGATACTATCGCTGAGGTATAAGTAGTATTATTTAATCTGACATGTATTCTGCGTTACCTGAAGATAAGAATATGGGCTTTCTGTATGGAAATTAATCTCTAAGTACCTGAAACCAAGCACCTGTAGTTGTTTGTGAAAGTGCACTTGTGCATGTTAAAGTTTATCCAAAGGAAAAATGCACAATAGTGGTTGGTTATTATTTCAATAACAAATCAGAGCATGATTGTTTTTGATTGTTTTTTGGTTTTTTCTCACCTCCACCTTTTGCAAATATTACAGCCTGAGAAAAAGCAGCAAATAAAAAAAAAATTTGCATGTTTCTTTTACCTCCTTCTTCTTCCTCTCTTCCTCCTTTCGTTTCTTCTCCTCCCTGATCTGGGCGAGGCGCTGCTTCTTGCGCTCCAGCTCTGCCTTTAGGTCACTTTTGTCTGACATGCTGTCCTGGACGCCTTTAAATAGAACATCAATAAACCACAGATGACACTGAAACAATATGTTTGCTTCTACCTAAAAATGATCACAGAAAGATGTAACTCTATATGTTTACAGAATCAGAAGCTGACACAATATCTTGCAAAATAAATACAAAGATTAATCAAAAGGGATTACAAAAAACATCTAAGGAAATATGCACTCAACACAGCTTAGTCCATACAGATTTATTTATTATGTGCAACCATATAATGAGTCAAAACTGTGCAAAATAAGGAACAAAAAAGGGTCAATTTGAGGTAAATGCAAAAAAAAAAAAAAAAAAAAAAATTAATATAATTTAACACAAACATTATTTTTAGGTAAACTACCAGTGGGTATATATTGAAGAACATTGGCTTAAACATCATATTTGTCGTGGCAACCGTTTTATTAGAGAAACAATGAAATCTGCTGGGGTAATTCACTGTGAGCCGTTAGTGCTGCTTTGTTAGTGATGACGACACGCAGAAACGTCTATATTTGGTTATTGACAAACAAAAAGATTAAAAACATGAAGGCATTAACGGCCATATGATGGTGTCCTACCTGATCCACTTGTAGGGCTGATGATGTGTCACCGGTAAAGATGCTGTCTCACTGCTAGAGGAGAAAAATCAACACATCCTCTGTTGTTGTTTCTGTGCATCAATGGCGTCTCTCCTGCAGAAAGATGGTCGGATTGGATATTTGTTAACGATTTATTTAAAAATATGGGTTATTGAAACCCCTGAGTGTAATAATACGAGGCTGGAAGCAGGTGCACAGCACGCCGACACATCCTCTGGAAGGAGCGAAGAGGGAGTGATGCTGGAGAAGAGGAGAGGAAATCCCTCCCCAATATGGCAGGCCGTTTTGACATTTATTAGCTTGACTGAATTTGCAATCCAGATGTCTCGAATGCATTTCTTCCTAGTCAAAAGGAAACATTCAGATATCTTAAATAGCATTCTTCCTATCTGAAATACAATGGTGTAACGACACAACAATACGCCGGTAAGCAACATTATTTAGGTGGGCCCCATGTGAAGTTTTTTCCCGTTCTTCTTTCCTTTTTCCTTTCTGGAATCCGCTTAAGTTCCTCTTTTTGGTATCCACCGTCACTAACACATTGTACGTAACGGTTATGCTTCATAATTCCAAGCGTTAGTGTAAAAAAAAAAAAAGATAAAAATACTCAAATACGTCGTTCTTTTAGGATCTTTATTGCGGTTTGAAACATATTATATGATTGTATTTTTACCAACCGTCTAATGAACTATACACAGTTATTAACATAGTAATTAAAAGTACCACTGTCTGCTTTGCTATTGGTGCCGTGTTTAAACGGCTCACCATGATGCTGAAATCTGCTATGTGTTGTGGTATAAATAAAGTCTGGTCCAAAGTTTATTTTATTAGGTGGTCATTTGAAGAATTTTTTGCGTAGGGTGCCTACCAGGTGTAAGTGACGGGGCCCCTAAGCATCTGCATACTCTGCTTACTGATAGTTACACTATTGCTAAAATGTAATTCTATTAGTATAAATGACGACACGTTTCTCATTCATGTGTATAGTTTGGCAAACCATTTTAACATAGATTCGGTTGTACCGCCTTTACGTTCGAGATATCACAAAAATGTTTTATGACTAAACGTTTTAACAATTTAAGATCGATTTAGATCTCTAATTATATTTTGACTAGTCAAAATACCTATTCAAGATATCTCTAATTATATTCTGACTAGTTGAAATGACGTCAGAGGCAAGCCTTTTTAACATAAATTCGGTTTCGTCTGACTATCCATAATTACGTTCCAGATATCTTAAAATACATTTTGATTAGACAAAACCAAATTTTGACTATCCGGAATGGTAATTTAAGATATCTGTATTTACATTCTGATTAGGAAGAATAATATTTCAAGATATCTTAAATTACATTTTGACTAGTCAAAATTCCTTTCAAGATATCTTAAATTACGACACCGGATTTGTCATTTAAGCGTCACACGCTGATTTTATGGCAAGCCTTTTTAACATAAATTCGGTTTCGTCTGAATTACACGTTACAATAGTATTACACATTTCTGAAATTACGATTAGTCATAAAGTAATTCCAAGATATGTCGATTTTAGTTTTGGCAAGTCATAATTCTGAATAAAGATTTGTCAAATGCCAGCAGAATTCAAGATATCTTAAATGTATTTTAGGATTAAGAGATATGCAGTTTTGACTAGTGAAAATAAAATTATAGATATCTTAAAAGCAAATAATGACAAGACCAAACAAATTTAAAGATATCTTGAATTGATTATGGATGGTCAGATGAAACCGAATTTATGTTAACATAGCTTGCCACAGTATTGGGCTTTTACTTCCATTCTTCCTATCTAAAATAAATATTCTTCCTATCCAACCATGAATTCTGATGAGGATGAACTCTAATTTTAGATATCAATAATAGAGTTACTACAAATCATAATAACTATTTCAGATATCAAAAATGATTATAACATTACATGTATACTCCTCCTTCTTAGGGACGCACATTAGCTACACCGCCATCTAGAGGCCGTCTGGAGAATAAACATGACAACGCCAAGATAAGGCTGCAATTTATTCATTTCAAATGATAATCATGACTAAAATCGTGTCAGATGAAAAGCTTGCAGATATTTCCCCTGTAAAACATTTTAGAAAGTTACATTTACTTAAGGAAATGGTAATTAAAGCAAACTATGCTCATAGTATAAATTTGCTCAACTGAAATGTGTTTACTAATACTCCTGTATGCTTTAAAGGTATAGTGGAGGATCTTCTTTTTCCAGGTGGATCATCAAAATAAGTGGTCCTCCTAATTATTATTATCATCATTATCATTCTGGTGATATGTTTATGTAAGAAACACCTATCAAAAAGCTGTTTTCTAATCACAGGAAATATTTTATACAAGTTTTTCCTCTTCTACATTTCATTTAAAAATGTCTAATAATTGCAATTTGTTTTAAAGGTATAGTGTAGTGCAGAGGGCGGGAGATTTTTTTAAAATTCGCAAATCCTCCACTATACCTTTAAGGTCAAGAGGTAGGTAGAGTATCCAAAAATGTCACATGAGTAAAAGTAGCACCATTTCATCTTATTTTAAAAAGTTTAAAAGTATTTGTTAAGAAGTGTACTCAAGTCATGAGTTACTGATCTAGTTACTACCATGACCATAACAACTGATGTAATATTTTGCTAAATAATGTAAAAGTGAACAAAATATTAAGTGATGTGAAAAGTATTGTGATTCAAAGAATAATATAGAAAAATACATATAAAATACAGATTCTGAGTTACAAAGTTTACAAATGTAATAGTTACAGTATGTAAGAATAGGCTAAATGATGTAAACTGTTTACCGCATTTTTACCTAACCTCAAAAATGACATGGCCAAAAAAACATTCAACCAATAAGCTTTGAGTTCATAGAAGAAGAAAGTGTGTCCCTCAATAGTGTATATTTGTTTAGAACAAGCTTGTTTCATTAACTGAAGTTATGCTCAATGGATGATGTAGCATGAAATTTACTTAAGACTAGTGATACTTTTTCATATTTTACCTAAGTAAAAGTGAAACCTACATACCTGTAAAACTACTCCTAAAAACATATTTTTTTAAAGTTACTCTAGCATACAGTATGTACCTGCTACCTGCCTCTCTGATAAAGTCTATGCATACTCTGCATGAGCAAACAAATGCATTCTCTCCCAGGGCTGCAAGTGCAAAGTGACAAAATTTTTCTTGTTCTTGTAGTTTGTTTTTGTCTTATACACATTTTGTGGGTAGAGCTATTTTCTTTCGTTTTGCACTACAGCTGATCCTATAACTATATTACTCTGGTACCATTACCGTATAGTCAAAATACATCAACAGTAGGGGCCAATGAGGACTTCAAAAAAGTTATGCACTTGAGTTCTTGTGCATTATAAAAATGTCTTGGCTAAGAACTTAGCTGTAGCTACCCTGCAGAGCAGTATCATTTATATTGTCTAAATGTATTAGGCCTTTAGACTCGGCATTCATTTGCTTTCAAGTGTACATGTTTTTAGGATTTGCTTTTTTATGTATTTATGTTTTTGGCTTAATTTACCAGTAATAAAAAAGAAAAAGAAAAAAGGTAAAGGCTTCTACATTGCACATGATGGCTACTGATGATGTCATGCAAACATTTGAATCAGGGGTGCTGCACCACAGAGGCATCTAAAACATGCAGGGCACTGGCCCTAAGGTACCAGGTTGGAGAACTACTGCACTACTGTGCTTAGATTGTTTTTTATTGCATTAAATATTTATATGTACAACAGAATTTAGAATTGAATGTATGCAATAACTATATATATATATATAAATATCCATCTATATAAATACCAATGTAATCACCCTGTGCAATAACTCTGTATAAGAATCCTGCTTTAAAAAAAAAAAGCTGTCATATGTGGACGCACTATATATACTGTATATATCCCATGCCCCTTTTTCTTCCTTTAGCACCTTATTTCCTCTCGTTTTGACTATTTGAGCTGATGTAACGAGTACATTTCTCCACTGTGAGATCAATAAAATCAATCAATCAATCAGTCTCTACCATAATTTTAAGATGGTCACAACATACAATGTTCATTCAAAGCATTATTTATTATTCTTATGTAATATTATTTTTGGACAAACTGAATTGAAAGGGTTTTCATTGATGGTATTCCATATTTTTAGAAATGGGCAAAAAAAAAAAAGAAAGATGAAAAAGCATTTGAATATACCTTTACATGTTTTTATTATATAAGTGAAAGGAGCACCATTCCCGTCCTCAAGATCTACCATCCTACAATCTTCAGAAGCAGAGCTGATTGACATGCTGATTAAATTCAGCCTTTCAATTCAGGTGTGATGCAGAGGGGAGGCATCTAGAAGTTGCAGGGCAGCAGCTGTTGAGGAATGGACTTGAATGAAATTAGGGACATAAATGTAATTTATTATTAGATACAAATCAGCCATATGCACCATGTGCAATAGAGAAAATACCACATTGTAATACCTCTGTGTGATAGCTCCTTTAAATTTGAATTCTATGAGAAATATATTTTTAATTTAGTTATTATTTCAAATTTTAAACTCAGCCTAGGATGCTGAATCAGAAAAAAAGGCACATGCATGGGATGCTGGGTAGTGGTTAACTACGTGCATAGTGCAATGTAACATCAACATCTATCTTTCTTTACATTGTTACCTGTTTAAAATTAGGAATATTTCCCATTTTAAGTGAAAATTGGCAGATGTAGATTTGAATTTAGAACACGCTCTGAATTATTGTTTTAAGTGGGGGAAAGCATGGTTATTTTAAATTTTTTCCTATGCTGTTTGTTGTTCTTAATTAGAACTCGGATATTCCAATAACGCATTTTATATATATACATGTAAAATCCATTTTCTCACACGCTTTAATCCCAAGTGGGGTTGCGAGGGGTGCTGGTGTCTATCTCCAGCTTTCTACAGGCAAAAGGTAGGGTACACCCTGAACAGGTTGCCATCGCAGGGCAGCACAGAGACAAACAACAATTGTGACACCTAAGGAGAATTAGAGAAGCCAATTAACCTAACAGTCATGTTTTTGGACTATCGGAGGAAGCCGGAGTACCCGGAGAGAACCCACGCATGCTCAGGAAACCGCATGCAACCCCAGGCATGGGAATCGAACCTGCAACCTTCTTGCTGCAAGGGCAAGGCAAGAGGGTATATATATATATATATATATATATATATATATAAATAAATATATATATATATATATATTTTTTTTTTTTTTTTTTTTTTTTTTTCAATTATGGTCGGTAGGTGATGCTATTATAAAGAAGTCTGTTTATTTCCAGTCAGGAAGATTTAGCTCCGCCCACCATGAAGAACACCTGAGCGCTGATTGGTTGCTTTCCACGTCAGTCTTACGTCTTCCCCTTGCAGACAACAACATACCCCAGCACATACTGCTACAAGTTGAATTCTGAGGGCGCAAAATATGGGAGGAAACTGCTGGAGAAAAACACTCTCAGGACACTTGCAAGCTTCCCTTTAAAGGATGGTATGAAGGATTTAAACTCGCGCGACACCGAAATATTGCCCCGCCATCTGGGAAAAAAAAAGAGTAACCGTTAAACTGGATTGTGCTGGAGCCAGAAAGGACGGCTCGTCCCTGATACGCTGCTAGCAGTTGGGGTCTACCGAGGGGAGAAAAAATGAGGTTCGCTCAGTTTCTGTTGAAAAACGGCCCGCTAGCTGGGATACCGAAACAAGTGGAGAGGTTTTCCAAGTTTTCTCCTTCCCCCTTATCCATGAAGCAGTTCATTGACTTCGGTAAGCATTAACGGTTGATTTTTTTCTGTAGGTCACATGTACATACAGTAACTGTTACTTATTAGCATAGTCCACATAACTGCATTGGTGTTAAGCTATCATTCACGTATGAACTTATATAGACCAAAGCTAACTGTACAAATATGTGTCATGGTTTGGGAGTTTTTCTGTACAGTTTGTTTGTTTAATGTTGCTGTAATTGATGCTAATGTTGCTCATGTGACCACAGGGTCTGCCAATGCATGTGAGAAGACGTCCTTTGTGTTCCTGCGACAGGAGCTTCCTGTCAGGCTGGCCAACATCATGAAGGAAATTGATTACCTTCCTGACAAGCTTCTTGGCACTCCATCTGTAAAGCTCCTGACCAGCTGGTAGGATACCTGGACTCCTGGCTTGTCTGTGTTTAACAGGAAATATCTCATTAAACCTCTGGAGGGCTTTAATATGATCTAATTTTCTTAACTGTGGTTTATTTTTAAACCATTTTTAAAAAATATTTCTTGTCAAGGGAGGGATTGCAGAATCAAATAAGTAGTTTCAGGTTAAAGAGGGCGATTACAACCAAAACCCTTTCATTATGATACCTCTAAAAAATTACCCTGGTGCTTTTTATAGTAATAAACCTTTTATAATCATTGCATTATATGATATTTAGTGTATTTTGACATGAGGTTAAATACAAACAGTTGCAAACCTGTTGATTATTAATAAATGTGTTGTCTTACATTTTAATTGGATGCCATTTAGATATTTTCTTGGTTCAGATAAATCTGAAATAGATTAGCGACATATGAAAAAAAGTTTATCCATCCATCCATTTTCTGACACGCTTAATCCCAAGTGGGGTCGCAAGGGGTGCTGGTGCCTTCTACAGGCGAGAGGCGAGGTACACCCTGAAAAAAGTAATTTTTTGAAAAGAAAAAAAAAGAGAGATACGAATTCATCTATCCAAAGTAGTTTTTTTCCCACATGAAAATATCTGGAAATGATAAATTTTTATTACAGAAAAAGGCTTATACACATATTATGTCCTGTTATCCTCACACGGACATTCATTGACTTCCATTTATTTACATGGCCTAACTCAGGCCCTGACAATTTCCAGCATATATCTAAACCTAACCTAAACTCAGTTCCTTCCATCCTTTTTCCATCACGCTTATCCAAAGTGGGTGTCTATCTCCAGCTTTCTACGGGTGAGGGGCGAGGTACACCCTGAAAAAAAGTCATTTTTTGGAAGAAGAAAAAAAAGAGAGAGAGATATGAATTCATCCATCCAAAGTTTTTTTTTTTACCCACATGAAAATATCTGGAAATTATACATTTTTATTACTGAAAAAGGCTTATACAAATATATACACATATACACATACATATTATGTCCTGTTATCCTTACACGGACATTCATTGACTTCCATTTATTTATATGGCCTAACTCAGACCCTAACAATTACCAGGATATATCTAACCCTAAACCTAACCTAAACTCAATTCCTTCCATCCACTTATCCAAAGCTGGTGTCTATCGCCAGCTTTCTACGGGCGAGGGGCGGGGTACACCCTGAACAGGTCGCAAGTCCATCGCAGGGCAACATAGAGACAAACGGGACAAACAACCAATCATGCACACACATGAGAATTTAGACAAGCCAATTAACCTAACAGTCATGTTTTTGGACTGTGGGAGGAAGCCGGAGTACCCAGAGAGAACCCACGCATGCTCAGGGAGAACATGCAAACTCCATGCAGAAAGAACCCGGGTCGGGAATAGAACCCGGAACCTTTTTGCTGCAAGGCGGCAGCGCTACTCACTACTTTGAGCAGCCCAAAAAATGTTTTTTCTTCAAATTTAACACTTTAATTACTAATATTGTCAAATTATTCTGTTTTAGATGCTTTCTGTAAGTTCTGTATATTTGTTAACTGTAATCTGAGGTTTATATTGCCAAAATATGAAACTATCTCGTGTTTAGTTAAAAGGGACTTTAAAAACAAGTCAGTGTTTCTGGTCACCACCTCTGCATGCTCTATTTACACCAAATAAAAAAATTAATGAATTGTGTACCGTTTGTATTTGTACTTGACGCTGGGACGCATTCACTCGAGGCAGCTCTCCTAACCCCTATTCTACCTCTAGGTTTTTTTCTGTTTACATAACTGAATAAGTGCCACAGATACAAACCTTTGTAACCTCAGTTTATTTTATTTTTTTTCTCCATGACTGTTAAAATCTTTGCTTTTCTTAAAGCTAATTCTCTGATATTTTATGTTAGACTCATGACGGTGGTCTGTTGCAGCAGAGAACCTTCCTGTTCGCATGGCAGAATATGACCACATATTTCACAAGCTAAAGGTGACTTGAGGGACACGCAGAGTGCATTGAAAGCATAGTAACAAAGCCAGTCACCTCTCACCCAGTTTAGTTTAGTTTTTTTGGACTGACACCGAGTGTAAGAGTGAGCTCAGGCCCATATGATCCTCTGGCCTGGACAAGAAGTCCAAGACATGACAAGCAGCTATTATTAAAGAGGAAATTGGAACACCCATAAAGTGTCACAAAGTTTTGAATAAGATTCAGCTCTTCCTCTGTTATGGTGATTGTTGACTTTTTTAATAAGCTTAGATTAAAGTTTTTTTTTTTTTTTTTTTTTTTGTGTGTGTGTCAAACAGGTATTCCCAGAGTTTGTTGGAACTGGTTGACTTTTTAGAAAAAGATCCGGATGATAAGGACGTGTTAAAAAAGTAAGTCATCTTAACAGACTTTTCCTTGCAAGATTTTTTCTTTTTTCCAAGTCAGAAATGAAGACATGTCAATGTGAATATAAAACTGCACACTACTGCAGCGCCAGTCATAGAAGGACAAAAACTGCTCCTTAAAAAACTACGTTTTAACTCACCAGTTACTGGATGGGGTTTTCCACCCACACAAGTGGTGCAATTTTATTGCAAAAGTTATATTTAATTACAGTTTTGGATATTTATTTGATAGAACCAACAGTAGCAACAAAAAAAATCCTAGAAGTTCTTTTAGATTTTAGGACGTGCAAACTAAGGCTGGGCAATATTTCTACCAAATCCAATTAATCCTTTTTTTTTTTTTCTGTCTTATTTTTCGCCATAGAAATGATGAATCTCATACATTACTTTCAAAAACTAGTGGGGGGTTTTTCAATCTGCCCTCTTTCGGGGGTGACCTTAATTTAAAGGGCAACAGGCTGTGCAAACACTTGTAAAAAAAAAATGTTTCACAACAAAATGAAAATATGTAATGTTTTCAGCTAGTGGCATTGCACAGTCAGCTATTTTATAAGTTACAAGTAGGCCTACACATCTAGAAATGAAAAGTGATGAACTGATGTAAGGCCCCGTCCACACGAAGTCAAAACGAACACGAAACGCTAATATTTTACAGAACGTTTGTCGTAAAGACGGAGACGTAAAATAAATGTGATCGTCCACACGAATGCATGAAAACGCTGCAAAATGTATGCCAGGCCTATAAGTGGCGCTGTGGTGCCAAAGCAAAAATAGGCGACGAAATGTTGGGCATGCGCACTAATATTTATACATGGTTGCCCTGCGGGTCCATTTTCGTGGTTTAGTCAAATTCAAGTGCTGAACTATGTCGTTGATATTGCTCTGTTCTTCCTGGAGATATTCCAGAAGAAGAAGATTCTGTTGTAAGCCCGACAGCAGGGTGAGTAGCATTAGCAGCAACGATTCAACACAGTACGGCGCCATTGTTGTTGTGATACTGTGTCGCGCATGCTTGTTTAGAGGCGACGCTATGACGCATGCGTGTAAAAAAAAAAATGCGGTTAGAGCTTAAAGATGGAAACGCGAAAATGGCGTTTCAAAATCTTCCCACTCTGAAGGCTGAATAAAAAAAAGATCGTTTACAGACCCCCGAAACGCCGGCTTCGTACGGATGAGAGGCTGGTTTGGTGAAAAATTTGTGCGTTTAGGCCAGGGTTTGGCTTCGTGTGGACGGGGCCTTAGTCCAACACTTTAGCCTAGTAAACTAGCCCCACCCGCCAGCGGCCAAAATCATTTTTGCCTGCGAGTGGTCTAGCCTCGATCAATGCCCCAGGCCCTAGAACTGGCGGGCCAATCACAACGCAGAGATGTGTTTCGAATTTCTGGATGTAAAGCGGGCAGGTTTTTAGGGGCGTGACGACAAAGCTGTGCGACGCTGGAGAAAGCACAATAAAGAAAATGGCAACAACTATTGAACAGTTGTCCTTTGACTCAGCTTTATAATCAGTTTTGGAAGGATTAGACTTGAGGTTTTGATGTCTCATTCATCGGGGCCAGACTAAATTACACATTTAATCTCACATTTAGTCTGGTTTATCAGGCTAGCAACACTTTTCCCAGCAAACCAAGCATATTAATGGGGAAAAGTGGAGAAACAGAAAATTTGATTTATTGATTAATCGTCCAGCCCATAGCGTAAACATCATGACAATAGCAATAAAAAAAGAGAAAAACATTAGAGAGGCAGTGAGAAAACGCCTCTTCCCTAAACTGAAGAAATACCTGTTACTTAGTCCCTGTTACCTTTCTTATGTAAATATTTATCTCATGTCATTTATTTCAGTTATTTATTAAACATTGATCTGATAGAGATTAGGAATCCTGGAATATAAGTTTGGCCAAATTGAATTATATTAAATGTTGTGATGAAAATACTCATGAAGTCTGGTAAATAAAAGGACGCTGATGTATAATCAGCTTAGGCTTATATAGTGGGTTTAATAATCAGTTCTGGGTTTAAAATGAAAAATTCTAATTAACTACAAAGTCAAAATCTCCAGGTAGGTTTGGTGTGGTAATATTAATAAAAATAATTTTATTCCTGATGCGTTGCAGCTTGTGCAGCATCTAGTCTCACTCATTCACACAGCTCTGCTGTTATCCGCAGCTTCACAAAGACTCTGGTAAACATCCGGAACCGGCACAACAACGTGGTACCCACCATGGCTCAGGGCGTGTTGGAGTTCAAGGAGGCGTTTGGTGTGGACCCTGTCACCAATCAGAATGTCCAATACTTCCTGGATCGCTTCTACATGAGCCGCATCTCCACACGCATGCTCATGAACCAGCACAGTCAGTATAGCACTCTGTAATAACTGTGAGTTAATCAACACAGATCCTAACTCTCAACAACTCATGTGGGTCATGGGTCCAAGTAAAGTAAATTCTATTTCAGGTTGAGGAAAAGCTATTTATTTATTCTATACATTTCTAGGAGTTAATTTCCTGCCCTGAAGTTGCAACTCAGCCTCACTTGATAGATTTCCAACCAAGTTACATATAATCTGAAAATAAATATGGCTGGAATATGCATGTGGCTGGAATTTCACCACCTTTTCTACATGCAGTACAGCACCCTGCAAAAGTAGTCATAACCCAGGACCGTTGGCATATTTCCCAACATTACAAATTTTATATGAGAGACTGACAGAAATCGGCGCATGGTTGGAAAATAAACATTTGAATCAGCCCATAAGTCACTACCTTGTAGACTACATTGTTCTCACCTGGATTTTTTAGGAGTGTAGCTGGGAAACACTTTTTATTGTTTGTTTTGCTTTTTTAAAGCTTGTTCCCTGCTGTCGGGGATGTATCTTGTTATTTCGGGGTGCCCCTTTTTAATTTCTGTTACAATATCGATATTGCAGCTTTAAGTAATGACATATGGTTATTACTCAATACGAGAATCATACATACTTTTATTACTTATTTTATAGTGTGAAGTCTTAGAAAAGTCTTAATCAGGGGATTTTTTTTTCAAACAGAGAACAATACTAAATGAGATCAGGTTGAAGAACCACTGACCTATTTCTTAATTACCAAAGACTTAGTTAAACTTAAACCAAGAGTGGATAGAAGCAGCATTTTTCTATGAGTTTTCTAATATTGAAGATTTTTGAGGCAGGCTGATTCATTCCAGTAATAATTCCCTAGCTGCTATAGGACTGATTTCCGATATCAGTATTGGATCAGGAAATCCCTAGTGTTCACTTGCATTGGTGAGTGGATGACAGTCTTAATGGTGCGGCGTTTGGGTTTTCATTGCACTTCCCTTATGTTTATTATCAAATAAGGAGATAAAGATGTTTAAAACACAGGCCGTTTCTCAATTCCCAAGAACGTAAATACGTTTTTGCCAAGTATGTTCTTGACAAAAACAGAGGAAAGTGTGGACTCGGGGAGAACAAGAGCACACAGAATAAATATGGGTCAATTGGAACAGAAGCGTACTCTGACATCACCACATTCAAAGCTAGTCAGGAGCTGCATTTCACCTCCTGTTATTAATAGTCTCTAGTTAATAATAAATATGACTTTTTTCATTTAGTGGGAGAATAGTGATTAACACAATCAGATAAACACAAATCAAATGAACATTTTGCCAAATAAAACAAAAAGAATCGCCATCAGAGCCTGTGGTACTACTTGCAGATGAGCTAACATTAGCCCTGGCTGCGGTTCGCCTCGGAGGTCCGCTGGTTGCAACGGTCCTTTCAACGTTTCAACTTTCACAGTTTCATTATGGTCCTTAAAAATCAGACTATCTGCATTATTCTTTGTAGTTCTAAAAGTTTCTGACTAACAAGTGTCTGTGATGAACTGCGCCAAGGAGGAAGCCCAGATGTCAGTAGAGAGTATCTTACGCACACACAAAATGTGCGTATTGGAATAATTTTCTGCATAATGCCGTATTTTTTTGCACAACATCTCACTATACTGATATATAAGAACTCTGGACTATTTTAGCTCCAGTGCAGCTGCGGGATTAGATCTGCGCAAATACAGCCACAGCTCCTAGCATTAGGGTTCTTACTTCAATACTGAGAGCATCTGTGCACCTGGAAGAAACCCACCTGTACTTCACCCCCCCAATCACTGGATATTGAGGGAGACTCTGAAGAAGCCTTATCAGTTCAAGCCACTTGCTTTAAAACACTAGTCCTTAGACTAGGGATTTTCGTCCAGAGAATTTATTCGCTTTGGATAAAAGCATCTACTATATTCATAAAAATAAACAAATAAACATCTAATTCCAAAAGCTTGTACTGCTGAGGCAGCGCAGTAAGTGAGGCGAAAAACTGAATACGTATTTATACCTGAATGCTTAAATGTGTACCGGCACATACCTTTTTTAACCAACAGCAAGGCTCTAATACAACCACCATTGATCAATCATTTGTGCAGCATTGAGTTATACTTGAAACTAATATTGCAGAATTATAATAATCTTGCACAGAAATGTAAAAGAAATGCACCTTATAGGGCAAATCTGTACAGTTTAGATGCAAAAATTGGAATTTTGGATGAGTTACTCATTATGTACCATGAAATCAGGCTCCCTAAACCTGTGATATAAAGCTTCAGAAAATAAGGATTTAAAAAAGAAACTTAGTTGTTTGTATGCAAGTGAGCAGATTTTCAATTAAAAATGTTATCACATGTTTTCCTCATGTCAGTAAGCGTTACTCAAAAAGTTGGTGTTATGTCTACTTGCTGAGTAACATTCAATCCTGCTGCTCATCAAACATTTTTGCAAAGTGCTGTACAGTATGTCAGCAGTTTACTTCATTTCCCTGACATGTACCTCAGATGGTTTCGTTTGAATCACACAGTCAGGAGCGCGTGCACAGCACAGTTTTCAGTCCTATATCATGTTTGTTTTGTGTTTCCCATAGCATTAATCTTTGATGGCAGCGTAAATCCAGCCCATCCCAAACATATTGGCAGCATTGACCCCAGCTGTGACGTGGTGGAGGTCGTAAAAGGTAATAAGTCATCTTGACCTACTGTCTCTACACACAGTCTGATATCCAGTTTCCTCTTTTAAACTATTCCTCATTGTTAGACGTCATTACATAAAACTCTGTGAGAGTACTTTAAGGAGGAAGTGTGTTATTCTAATATTTACATGTGCTGCGAACTGCTCGGAGATCTGATCATCAAAAACAAGATCTGATAATCACAAATTAGCCCAAGTTTCCTCGTTCTTTGTTGTAAAAATTCTGATAAAGAAGTAACAAGCTTTTGTGTTGTGAAACTTTGCAGATGCGTATGAGACCTCAAAAATGCTGTGTGAGCAGTATTACCTCACCTCTCCTGATATGGAGATCAAGGAAGTGAACTGTAAGTCAAAGGCAACACATACCTTCTGTTTTCAGTTTGTAGCTTAGCTCTAGTCAGATCTCTGCTTCAGATTTCTCTCTCAAGGTGATAGTTTTTCTACTCTTCATTGATTTTTTTCCACCCAGTCCGTCCTCCTCTTTTATAATGGAACTAAGGGTTCAGGATGTCTGTTTCCTGTCTTCTGACTCTGACCAAAAACATCTTGTCAGCATAAAAAATAACTTAGTTTGAGCTGCACAGATTACTCTTGAAGAATTCATATTTTTTTTGTTATGGTTACATTAAAAGACCCTACTACCAAAATAGTCTATTCAAGCATTTTAAATATGTGGCTGCTCTCAGCATGTTTTAGGAAGATATGACAGGGTTGCTTTACATTTTATTCAAGTCAATTTTCACTAAAACTCTTATTTCATTTTAAGAGCATCAAGTCGATCAAGTCTTGTAAGAGAAAACTACACTTCTGAGCTAGCGCTGGTTTTAGGTTTTATTAAGTTAAACCTTTAAGTAATGCATACCTGTATCGCCTTGTGCTGGTATACATAAAAAATCTCCAATCAAGTAACTTGCATAACATTATAACAGGTCATTTGAATTTCAACTTCTTGTGGTGTGCTGCGTTCACACCAAACACATTTTAAAGGCGTCCAATGTCTAATCTCGTTGAAGTCAGGCGCACGTGGAGAGCCTTTTGATACATATTAAGCAAAGTGTCCTGTGATGGGCTGGTGACTTGTCCAGAGTGGACCCCACCTCTCGCCTGTAGACAGCTGGAGATGGGCACCAGCACCCCTCGTGACCCCAGCAGGGATAAAGCGTGACGGAAAATAGACGTATGGATGAGCAAAGTGCGTGCAGACAAATCCGACATGCTTTGCAGGCCTCTTGTACACAATGGCAGATGCAATGAAGTGATTTTTCTGTGCTAGATTTGCAGTGATGAGTGGGGAAAAAGTCGATTTGATGTTTTTAAGCAAGAAAGTCCATTTCAAAATGTCGCCCATATAGTCAGTTCATCAGAATTATGAACCTAACTATAAATATTCTGTAGTTGTTCCAGGAGGAGAGCTGTCACTAGGAATTAGGGCTGGGAAATGAATTACATTTGCAATATAATCACAACTTAAGAAAACACAATTTTCAAATCGCAGAGCCACTCAGTTTTGGTTACGTTACATTAAATAAGACTAAGACTATTTTTTTCTCACTCCAGACCTTTAGGCAGTGGTAATATATTTAAAGTTGGTTTGCTGCCACAAAAAAAAGGAAAGAAACTTCCAGCTAGAACATAGATCAGTGCATGCAAGTAGAAGTAAGCACTTTTCCAAGTAAAGGTTATAATAAAGCCCTGCAACAGTTAACTCTGTAGTTATTGCAAAGGAAACAGAAAATACAATCGCAATTTAGGTTTTTGGCAAAGTGGTTCAGCCCTACTGGGAATCCAGCGATATCACCCTCAAACTGGCCAGTTATTGGGATTTTAGCGAATCTAAGTGAATATAAGCTTTTTTTAGGTATATGCTAAAAACTACAACTACAAGAGTAATAAATTGATCACATTTCACCAACAAGTTATTTATAAACTGTTTCTCCACATTCCAGTATGTTAGAGTGATCAGAACACACACTTTGTACTGGAAGAAATACATTCTGTTGGCTTTTTATCTAAATATAGTGTGTGGGCCTACCCTTTTGTAGATATATTTGTTTTTATTTTTAATGGTTTAATGCTGGCAGCTTGAATCCTCAAAACTCTGCACCCCAAGCTCGAAACTCTTTGAATTGCTGTGTGGCGCTTCTCAGACTTTGAATTTACACCTGCTGATCCTAACACTGTAAAAGTGTTTATTCTGAATTCAGCTTTAGATCAAATTTTCAAAGAAAATGTAAATTCTCCTTAAAAAGAAAAATCAAAATGAGATGTATTTCTGTTGAATTAGACTTAATGATTGGATTAAATTAATCTTTGTACAAATCAAATCTGACTGAGTTCTAGTGGAGTGATTTGGACCAATATATAAAATAATGCATAAATATTGACCTGTTCTTATTGTAATAACTGTATGCTCTAAATTGGTCCACAGCTAAAAGCCCCGGCCAGCCCATCCACATCGTCTATGTTCCATCACACCTCTACCACATGCTGTTTGAGCTCTTCAAGGTACAGCAGCCGGCACATTGGTTTTAAGCCAAGACTGTTTTTTGTTTGTTTTGTTTTTTATATCATTTTTCCTCTTTCAGAATGCCATGAGAGCCACCGTAGAGACCCATGAGACAAGCCCGACGTTGCCCCCAATTAAAGTCCGCGTCTCACTGGGCATTGAGGATCTCACCATCAAGGTAGCAGATGCAGTTTAACTGATGTGGTTCTGCTATTAAACTAAATATGGTTCTTAAAGTACCTTCTTATCTTTATGCATCAGATGTCAGACAAAGGTGGCGGAGTTCCCTTGAGGAAGATCGAACGTCTCTTTAGCTACATGTACACCACGGCTCCCAGCCCCGTCCATGTAGACATGTCTAGAAACGCTCCTCTGGTGAGATTAACCATGCCGCTCTTTCTTTTTAAACTCAAATTAAAGGTTAATCTTTCATCTTTTAGTAAATTTCTTTTTTTGTAAAATCTACTGTTGTGGTTTTAGCTCAGAATGAAAGACAGAGCTCTATAAGCTGAGCACAGCCTTACATAATTAAACATGGTGATTGCAGAGTGTAGGAATGCTGTCAGCAGCTTGTTGTTGGTTTAAACTGTAATCAGATGAAGCTTAATCTCTACAGGCCACATCATCAAGACTCTCCTCCTTTTTTTTTCTCACTGCCTCCTGCTTTTAGGCTGGCTTTGGTTATGGACTGCCCATTTCTCGGCTTTACGCCAAGTATTTCCAGGGGGATCTGCAGCTGTACTCTATGGAGGGCTACGGCACATCAGCTGTCATATATTTGAAGGTGAGGCTTAATCTGCTCTGATTTTTGTTTTTCTTGTTTAACAATAACAATACTTAAATAGACTAGATGAACACATTAGTAGATTTTCCGAATAGGTCTGTAATACAAACTCCTTTCAACTTTCACCCAGTTTAGACACATTAACACCACAAATCTGAAGTGTTTTATTTGGATTTTATCAGATAAACTAACACAAAGCAGCATGAAGTGAAAGAAAATTGGTTATTTTAAATGAAATTTTTAAAATTTAAATGCAATTTGTATTTCACCCCTGCACTCTCAGTAGCTCTTAAATAAAATCCAATGCTGCAAAAAATATTTTGCAATTGATGCTCTGTATAAATACAGCTGTTGTCTTGATGATCACTGAGGATCGGGGAAAAATGGAGACAGCTGAAGGTTTAGAGCTATTGTGAAATCAAGGTTGGGTTATAAAACACTATATGAAGCTTTTTAGAACTTTAAGGTCACTGTTCTGTCCAACATTGTAGAATGAGATGAATATAGCAAAACTGCAAAAGAAGGATTGTCCAGGTTCGCTGGAAGGCAAAGCACTGAGAGCTTTTATTATGCTGTACAAATGGTCATGAGATCGGATCTAACTGTGAGGGAGCTGCAAGATTTTCAGCTCAGGTGGGAGAATCATGTAACAGTTAACATGACGTTAGCTGCAAGATGATCACCCTGTTCATGATGAGGTGTAACCCAGGAAGAACTAACCTGCTGTAACACAAGATGGCTGTAATGATGGAGATAAAGAAACTAGTGACCTTTTCTGAGGTATTAGAGAGCCATTAATTATCTGATGCTCAGAATGATGTAATAAAATGTCAGCCCTTTAAGTCAGGGATGTTTTCAAGGACTTAATAAATGCTTTGAGTAAAATCTATGTGGTGTTATCTAATCAGAGCAAAGAAAGACAGAAATTTACATTTATCTTTTGTATAAAAGATAAATGTAAATTAATCTTTTATACAAAAGATAAATTTACATTTATCTTTTATACAAAACAAACTCCAGCTAGCTTAAAGTATTAACCATGTGGGCACCACTAACTAATATATTAGCTTTGCTACCGCTAAACAGCAAAAACAAGTTGGTGGATGCTAACGCTAACAGCTAAGGCAGCTGTCATCAAAAGAAAATGATATTGAAAGCATACGACTGCTTCCAGGCATAAATTAAAGCATTCTGAGCACACAGCTGCACTAAAAGAACGATGGACAAACAGGCTCCTCATGAAGTGTTGCAACCAAAAGACCAACACAATAAAATCGATTTTTCCTGTCATGCTTCAGCAACCTCAACAAAAAACATTAGTTAACTGTTAAGCTAATGACATAATTAGAAGAAAAAATAGAGTTTGCCAGCAGTTAGCTTCATACAGACGAACACATGGTTCTGTAGATTGTGTTGTTTTCAGCTTCTCCTTATTTGTCTTTGACACTTTTAACGATTTATTTAAAGTGTTGGGAATTGGGAAAAATAACTCTTCCACCCCCTAAAACATGTCTGCTCCTGACTAAGAAAGTTTAACCTTAAACAATTTTTTGTTTGTTTTGTAAGAAATATGTTTGACAGAAATGTATGCAGTTCCTGCAGGTAAATTATGTTTCTCTTCAGTAAAAAAAAAAACAGCAACCAATGATTAGTCAGGTGGTAACTAGCATCCCGGATTAATTGGCCGCTAATGTCATGTCAATTAGTTGTTCACTTCACATATCTGGCATTTATGGAGGTGGATCAGGGAGAAAGTACTGAATGCAGCTACTAGAGGACATGTTGAGGGCAGAATTACACTGAACACACCATCATGACCCATCCTGCCATGGGAATTGTTTTCTTCAAGAGAAATGAAAAAGCTCTTTTTAAAAGCAACTTTTACTGTTATTTGGTTGTTTCATAGTTAAAGAGAAATAACGCCCCTTTTTCTTACATTTTTTGATTGTTTTAAAAAATATATAATACAAGAAATCTCTTGCCTTCCACTTCTTTGGTCCATCAGAGACATAAAACTCCAATAGAAAACATTATGGGTTGTGTTGTTACTCATCAAAAGTTACTAATTTCACTGTAAAAAGATGTTTTGTAATAAACAGAGATAACATATAGGAAGGATCAAGCATATAACTGTGATTTTAGAGAGAACATCAAATGAGATCCAGAGAATAATTCTTTCCTTTCTGTGATCTGAAACCAGGCCCTGTCCTCAGAGTCAGTGGAGAGACTTCCTGTTTTCAACAAGTCGGCCCTCAGGCACTACCAGTCCACCATAGAGGCCGACGACTGGTGCATGCCCAGCAAGGAGCCCAAAAAACTGGGCAAGTATGAGAGGACCCAGTGAGAGCAGACCGAGGAGAAAACGGAAGAGACTCTGAAACTGTTTGAATCAAAGTGTTAAAAAGAAATTGGAGGTTCTCTGAGAGGAGAAGTGATCAGAATGTAGCTGAGCTGGAATCTTTCTGTAAAAAAAACAGACCTTCTCTCAGATAAGAGCGTTTGTGAAAAAGAAATGATAAAAAGCAGAAAACATTTCAGACCAGCTTCTAAAAAAACCTCACACGTCACATTAAGGTTTGTTAGTGCTGCTAATGGAAAACAAAAAAGCTGAGCATTAGTTTGATTTCCTCTCAGTCATCACAAGCATTGAGAATCCTCATCTTCACAAAGTAACACTAAAAGTTTTCCCATTGGGACTTTAACTGTCACCTGGTTCCTCTTTCCCAGACCACCTGCCCCACTAATCATCCAGACATTTTTACTTCAGTGTTATCTTTAAACAGATCTCTGCGTGCAGAGCGAACGTCACTCCTTCACCATTTCTCTAATGTTTATAATTAAGATGCAGGCGTGAAAACACTGTCAGTGTTCCTCAGACTGAAGACTGACAAATCTGCTACTAAATGCAAGGAAAGGTGATAGTGTCCATGGCTTGGACAGGCCAGCTGAAACCAGCCAGCGTGGGATCACTCAGGTTAAACGTCGAGAGCGGTAACACAAAGGGAGCAAAGTCTTTTTATCACCCTCATTGCTTAATTCACTCAACCTCTGCTACTCCAAAATCACCTGCAATGACAAATGAGAAATATTTTACTTCATTTTTAGTGATTTACAAAAGTAAGAAAAACAAACGAAATCATATATTTTATTTCTTATCTAGGAAAGGTTGATTTTAGTGATTTTTATTTGAAATATGTTCTTATTGTAGGATGGAACGTGTTCAGGCTGAATTTTTGAATTTGAATGTATTTTTTTTTTTTTAAAGCTACAGTGTGTAATAATTACAGGCATATAAAGTCAGAAATTTAATATATTATACATAACTATGTTATTTATCATCACCTATGAGCTCAGCCTTTTAACCATAATATTTGCGTTGCCTTAGAATTCGTTATTTATAATTACATAGGAGCGGGTCTCGCAGCCATGGAGGCTGACATTTTTGCGCTACGGCAAGCGCAGAGGCAACAAACTAGCGATTGCGAGATCTCCCATGACGCTCAAAAATAACTACGGCAAGTTGAGAGAGATTAACTGAGACGGTACTGAACAGTAGATGGCAGTATTATGCCTGAGAAGCGTTTAGTCTGCCTGAAACCAAAGAAGAAGAAGAAGCAGGTATACTGCGCCTCAGTAACAAGAAAGGTGAACAAGGCGGCAGGCGTGAGTGACTTTGCAAACTGTTTGGCACTGTGTGGCCAAACATCAGACGAATGGAGGATCATGCCTACTCTGTATCACAACGAAAAGCGGCGGACACCGAACCCCCGTCATCTAAGAAGCGGAAACACGACGAGAATAAACGCAAGCGTGACAAGAAACGGCAAAAAACACGGATCAACATTGGCACGGCATTTACACGATGGAAGTCACTGATGGAGGAAAAAGGTTTTCAAAGTGACGCTCAAGTTGCCAGTTTTCTCTTGGACAGGTAATTAATCCTACACACACAATTGTCTAATATCACTGCAGTTTTTGGAGTACAGGATGCTCAGACCTGTCTAAAACAATAACATGCTGCGTGATGATGCTGTTACTCTCCAGTATACTTATTCAGCAACGTCCCTGACGTTTCACAGGTAATGATTCAGTAATTTTCTGTAAAATAATTTTCTGGATATATACCTCGGTTACTTCTCTCCGGCTCCTTTGGAGATCTTCAAGCCTTTCCTCCTCTGCTCTCACCCCGCTGGCTCCCCTCTCTCGCCTGGCCCTAGCTGCACGGCCTCCCTGCCTTCGCCCTCGTCCTCTCCCTCTCCCTCGCGTTGTAACCCCCGTGCCACCAAAATGACTTGGACTCTGTAAACGGGGGATATATATTCTTCCAGCGAACACAATCTCGCTGTTAAACTAATGACTACAATTACTTCGTCTGTTTATATCACCATGCAAAGCAGCTCACCAAGACGTCACAACGATGTAGAAAAAATAACGGGTATATTTATTATCTTAAGTCTACATGAAATCTATACCCTACACAGACTAATGAAATACTATCTGTAAAATTATCTATGTAAACAAACCTCATCACTTGAGAGGGTAGGTGATGTGGACGTCGTAGAAGAAATTTTGTCCCGTAACGCTCGCCGTACTGTTGGGGGGGAGAAGCGGTGGGGGGCAGATGTTCATGTTGCTGCGGTCTGTAGTCTGACCGCTAGATGTCGCTGAAAATTACACACTGTAGCATTAAGATTTCAATGAAATCTGCCAAAAAATTGTAGATTCCCACATTTTGCTGCTCTATGTCCTCAGTGTTTTGTAATGATTCGTGTGTTCTGTCATTCAGTTTTCCAGGAATACAGAAGACAGGTCAGTTAAACCTTATGTAAATGTTCAGTTCTTTTGCTTTTTATGCCAGCCACACATAAAAAAAAAGAAAAAAAAAACAGGTTAAAGTAAACCTGACAGCATCAGTTCACGTGGAACAAATAGAATCTGAACATATAATGATAGTGATAACGGTCTGTGGTTAAAGAGTGTTGGTGCTTCTTTGGCTTTCGGCAGTCATTTCATGGTGCTTTATCTCCCAGTATTTTCCATTCTAAAGCAGGATTAAGAAAACATTTCACTAAGAAAACCAATTAAAACATCTGAAATAAACATATTTTCTCCTTCTCTGGGTTTCAGTACTCTTTGAATGGATCCATGCTTTCTCTGACTATGATGTGAAAGACAGACATGCTGTAGTGCATCGTGTAGTGGAAGAAAAATTGCAAATCGTTTTTAGAATATTTTTCTTCATAACGTATCCTAAAGATATGGTGGAGGATCATCAAAATAAGTGGTCCTCCTACTTGTCAATCATTCTGGTAATATATTTACTTAAGGCTGTCCTTTCTAGTATTTTAGATCATTTAACTGCTTTCCTTGTTTGCTGTACATTTAGTTGTCCTACTTCTCTTTACCTGCTTAAAAATAAACCCTTCCTGCAGCATGATGCTGCCACCACCATGTTTCTCAGTTGTGTTGCTGTTTGCATGGTAATGAACAGTGTTAGAGTCCTTTTTTTAAGCTAAGCTGACCAGGGGACGTTCTCCTTTATGTTTTGTTGGTCCCCTGTGGGTTTGTATATTGCAGTACTAACAGCTTCCCTTACCCTATATTTTCCTTTATGAGCTGTGAATCTATGCAGCTCTTCCAAAGTTACCACTGGCCTCTTTGCTGCTTCTCTGATTAATGCTGTCATTGTTTGGCCTGTCAGTTTCAGATGGCAGAAGCGTCTTCGTATATTTACAGTGCCGTGAGTTCTCCAGTTTTAATAATAAAATTCTTTAAACATCTCCACAGACGTATCTCTGGCCTGTCTGTTGTTTTCCTGGCTCGTCATGATATCATATGTTCTGTAACGAGCCTCAGAGACCTTCAGAGAACAAATATATACCCCGAGATCAAAGTATGCACAGACAGATAGCGGATTGTAGTGCATTTGAAACATGGTTTTCACATTTTTATTGATAAAGAAAAGTTAAAAACCTCTCTCCCATTTTCCTTCTACCCATAATCAAGCACTGCTCAGTGTTCCTCTTTCATGTACAACCCCTGTTAAATGCATTGACGTTTGGTCGCTGAGACAGAACAAACTCTGGAAGTTGTAAGCGGCATTAGAAGTTTGGTCTTATTTTTAATCATTTGTGAAGTGGGATGCTTATTTAAATGACTTATTTTAAACGTTCGAAGGCTTAAGTTGATATGTTAAATGATTCATTACAGAAAGCTGCCCCTCTGCCCTGTGATGTAACACGCTGTAGGCCATCTCCTTGTTATCTTCAACTGACAGCTTCAGTCAAACACAGACTTCGTTGTGGTCGACACGTAGCTGCTAATAGGAGGAAAGCTGTATTGATTTAACAGATAAGGCTTTACTCTTAGGGATAACAGATAACTAGTTACCATCACTTTAACAGCTTTATTTTTCCATCTATCCTGACTTTGTTTAAAGCTTCTATTATTTTTTTATTATTATTGTTTAACGTCCAGTTTTTACTAAGATGACTTAAAGGCCAAGTGTTACCTCTAAGCTGAGTGTGGACTCCTTCGCTAAACGGACCAGTGATTGCTTGGATTAGAAAACATCTCGCACCACTTCCTGTTTTGTTTGGTTTCATATTTACAGCTTTTAAAAAATGTTATTAAAACTTTAACCTTGCCACCAGCTGACATCATGTAAACGTGATCTCCTGTAGTGTTTGCATGATCCTGAAAATTCTGGTTTCACTCGCTAAAACTTTCAAGCAATAAAAGTGTTTCTGGTGTGTTAACATGTCTGTGTGCCTCTGCTTTCTGTAATGACTCTGCTAAACTGTTGTCTCCCTCCTCCTCCTCGCTCTTGTTTTTGGAAACTTCGGTCGCTTTGTCAGTGGGTACAGCAGACACAGTCCAGTGGCTTTTCGTGGCCGTCTGCCAGCAGGAGTTTGGAACAGTCTGTTCTGCTTTGTTGAACAGCTTCATTAGCGTGCCTGATGATTCCTTCACTGAGATCTAGTTAAATTTTTCCTGTTCTGTTTTTAACTTTTCCATGACGCATCCTGTAGGTAAATGCATTGCTACCACTGGATTCTTAAAAGACATTGTGATTAAAGAGCATTAAATAAGAAAATTCTCATCAGTCACTTTAGTGGAGATCCTGCAAAAATCGAGCTTCTCAGATCTTTGCAAACATCAGTTTTACTTCAGTTTTGGGCTTTTAGCTGATCTTTTTCCATAAAACAAAAAAGAAAAAAAACTTTATTGAGTTTTAAAAGAAGAGTTAGATGCACAAGTTTCAGCTCTTTTTGTTTTTTGATTTGTTTTTTTTTTACATACAAATAAAGTGTTTGGTCCCAAAAGACTTTATTGTGATTTGAATGCAGCACCTGTCCGCTTTAAAATCATCAGTGTCGAGAGCAGCTCATTCAATGCAGGTTTTAAGATGTTTTATTTCCGCTGTCAAAACAGTGTCAGCCGGAGGAAACCCGCAGCAAGCTGACAGTACTGT